ATTGTTGAATGGGAAATGATGGATACATGGGGCTCTTTATAACATCCTATCTGCTTTTCTGAATGGTTGAAAATGTCCATAACAAAGTTTAAAAACATTTTTTTTACTCCCCCAGATTAAATAACTTTCAAAAGGACCCGTTAAGCAAAGCCACTACTATATTAAACAAATACTCTGTATTTCTTCTCCTAGAACGACATGTAAAAGACAAAAATCTAAACTTTTCCTCTTATGATTTAATTGGAAGCCTTTGGTATTGGTCTATTTTCACTGGAGAATATTAATACTATATTTTCATGGCAGACAATTTGTTTTCTGCCTTTGTTTGAAAAGCAAAGCTCTCTTTGCTACTCACAGAGAATTATGTGAATATTTTTCGTTCTGTTTAGCATACAGAAATACTCCTAGTGATGAGAGTAGAACTGGAGAAAACAGAAGACAGCAAATTTGTATGATAAAAACTACAAGAACATGAAAATATAGTGTTGCATCATGAACAAGTATACTACTATTTTAAATGTGTAGTAATTAATCTCGCTTTTGCTAGCATTATGTGAAAATTGATATTCCATCTAAATCATGTGATGCATCCTATTAAGCAGAGTTTAAAAAACAGATGCACAGTGAGGCTAAGTTTCTATGAGATTAGGACAACAAAAAGTAGAAATTTGTCAAAGAATTGGATGAGTATTATTTCTTCCTTGAAGCAATCAAATAATCAGTATGACCAGCTACTAGAGAGCAGGTAGACATTTTTTTATTACTATTATTGAATTGATCAGCCTACCTTATGGGCTGGGAAGAGGAGGAATGTTTAAGTCAATTGGTTCACACAGAGATTTTTGCATAGAAGCAGCCCTACTTGTGATGAACTAGAAGAATTCACTTAGCCAGTTGGAAGAAAATAGAAAAAAGGAAAAGAAAAAGATTTAGGATTCTTTTTTGTGCCGGTATAATTCTAACTGAGGTTCTTAGTGTCTACATAATTTTAGCATCTATTGTATGTTTTTTCCATCTCTGTTCTCTCTTGATTTTCCCTTTTCTTATGTCAAGAAGAAGCAGTACTTTTCTGAGAAAGCAGAGCATCATTCTAAAAAGTTTATATCTAAAGTGCTTATGGAAATCATGTGTCCTGTCTTGATTTCACTTATTCCGTGGAAAGTAGATCATAGATTCTATGATTCTTGGCTATTATCTATACTTATTCCCTTAAAATAATTTTCTGTTATTACAGACTTATAAATCAAGTTGCACCCTTAAGAACCATAAATTTTATCTTCCAGTTCCCAGAAAATATGAGACCTGAAAAAACATTCTATATTTAAATAACTCCAGAAAAGTTTTTACAAATTCAATAGTTACCGGTTTATCTTTTTAACACTGCCTCCACTACCACCAAGACACATTTCCCCATATTTGATCTATGCAGTGTGAGAACTTGGCCTCTATTTCTCTTTGATTGAGAAAGGAAACAGCTGGTAAGCATTATGTATATTATATACCTTCAAACACTGCAAGACTGTTATTAGGTCACCTCTGTTCTCTTCTCCAAGATAAGCAAGTCCAATGTCTTTAACTCTTTCTTATAAGTTCCATTTTCCAACCCTCTCATCAACGTTCACAGTCTCTTTTGGATCTTCTCCAAATTTCAGAGCTCTCTTAAGATGTGGACCCCCAAACTGGAGAGCACTTTCTTGTAAAAATCTAACCAGTGCTGAGTAAAAGAAAGTACCATCTATTTATTTATCTATTTAAAGTTAAGTGATCATGAAGGGTCTACCACCATAGACCATAGATGTTGGTATATTTTGGTGCTAAAGTAGCATGAACATCAGAAGGGAGAAATCATGTCTGTTTTTGCCTTAAGCTCTTGGTTTCAGGAGACCACACCTAAAAGGGACGTTGAGACACATCTAAAGCCAAAAAGCAGACAACGTCTGGTCTAAATCAAAGACAGAGGCTTTCTGCTGACTCAGAATCATTATCTCTGGAACTGCTTCTTCTTACATGGTTAAATGTTGATTACCAAATCCCACCCATGTATATCTGTGTGTGTGTGTGAGACAGAGAGAGAGAGACTCATTAGTTCTTCCTTATTCACATATCTTTTGCCAGTCTTAAAAATGCAGATAGTTTCTTTAGGAAAACTTATCAGTTTTATTTGTTTTGTTTCATGAAAGAAGCCAAATTGTCTATACGTAGTGAAATTTCTCATATTTTAAAGCAGGAACCTTATTCCATTTCCCTTGTCAATGTTCTACCCGTTGCTCTAATGTTCACCTCCTTTTAATTGTCCTTTCTACTTGTTCATCTTATTTTTCCCTTCCTATCTCCTTATTTTCCCTGTTCTGTTTCCTTCCCTCTCATTCACTGTATCTAGTATCTACATACATCAATTGAATGGAGCAGAAAGGAATCAGTAAACATGTGAAGGAGGGGTAGAGGAGAAGAGATTTAATTAAGGATAGAAAGTCATCATTGTTCACATTTGAAAACATCAAATGGGAATGATCGTATTAGGTACACCATGTGAAGCATTAGAAAACACGGGAAATAAAGTTATCAAGTGATCAAGAAGATGTCACAGCACCTCACACTCAAACTTTCAACAATTTGAGAAGCTTTTGTTTCTCAGATGAGTTGTGAGTTGCATTTCATCAAAAATAAAGTTTGGACTAAAGCAGTCCATTTTTTAAAAAAATTCTCTTCACAGCCTGGTGGAGAGAAATCTCCCAGACTCTCCACTTCAAAAAGAAGCTATATTTATTAGCGTGGCTAAAGCGAGAATTAAGCCCAAGAGCCAGAGGAATCGAGAGAGGCATCCCAGCCCTGACAAACCACTGGCAGGCTGGTGGCGTATTCACAGCCAAGCTGCCTGGCAAATTGGTGTTTGAAAATATTATGTCTCAAGCGTAGGAAGTCTGCAGGAGGAGTGTTTGTGATGTTATCAGACAAAAATCTCTGTGTACCTGGACTCAGTGTCCAAGTCTTTTCAAACCCTAGGCTTCGCACCGAGTTATGTCAACACATGACTCAGAAGAGGCGGAAAGGGAAAAACAGGCACAAAGAAGGCAAAGCTGGGGAGAAAAAGAGCAAATAAACACGGAAGCCAAAGTAAGCCAGTTTGGTTCCGAGGAGAGCTGCGAACACTCTTTTTTTTAACCAGTCAAAGGTAAAAGGGAAAGATGAATAGTCTTCTCATAACTAGACCTTCCTTCTCGTCTCAGGGGAACAAGGAGATAATCAGAAAATGTATAAGATTTGAAAAGAGAATTAGCATCTCACTTTAACCCAAATCACCGCCAGAAAGCACTAATTATCTATATTCTAGTCCCTCTGCTCCAATGGGGATTTGTGTTAGTTTCCTGAACAGTTTATAAATATAGCTCACTCATTGTTATTAGGAAATGATATTGTGAGGAAAATCAGAGCCTTTCTTTGGGGATAAATTACTGGACATTAGTCTCTCACATAACTGAACCTCACTGAGAAACACTAAAACACTAACTCAAATCGTAGGTGTTCATCCTTGTCTCAAATATCATCTGGTTAATTCTAGTCTCAAAGCACACATTCACTTAAAATGAACATATCTGTATTATAAAAAATGATTTTGTGAAATAAGGAAGCTTCTTTCTCTTACTGCATGGTCAGAATTATCACCACCAAAAAATGTTGACTGAAAGAAAAAAACATCAATTTTTTTTTAGCAATTGTGTTTCAGTAAAAGCACAGTTATTTCTGTTTTCTTTTAATGCCAGAGCTAAATAAAGCCTTTGAACCTGATGCTCAGAGACAACATCTAAAGAGAATGTGTTTGTATAGTGCATAACTTATTGTGTGTACTCAATAAAGCCGTCAGCATACCTGTGGAGTAAATAAATCCCTGAGTTAGTCTCCTGGAAAAAGGAGGGTGTGATAAAAAATATTTAGAGAATTTGACCCATTTTACCAAACAATTTAGAAAATCCAGTGTTCTCTGCCTTAATATAATATGGAGTGGTAGATCAAATAATCCCAAACACATACAATAAAATCCTGTGTCCTGATTCTCCTGGCTCTGCAGACACAACCAACCATGCAAACCAAGAATGCAAACAGGAGACAAGAAAGACTAGACGAGGATGGAAAGGCAACAAATTCCATTCAATTAGGCAAGATTGACTAAAGCATTTAACCAAGAGTTCAAAATTTTAATTGGAAACCAAGGAGAAATTAAGAGATTTTTTTCTCCCCTCTAAACATAAAAATTAATATTTTTCATGTTCTTTTGTACATTTTATACAAGATTCTTAAATATTTCACGTATGTTTCTAAGGACATTTTGTGCTCTGAAAAAAAAATGTAATGAAATGTTAATGATTATGGAATGCTAATGACCCAAGAGGTCGGATGTAATAAAATCTGTGTTGCTCAATCTGATAAACTGAGAAAGGCCAAAAATGTGACTTTTTAAATTTTACCTAGAGTATTACAGAATAAAATATGTTGTTAATCCAATTTCTTCTTTAGGACTTTTGTTCTAGACATGCTTTCCTTACACAACGCGAGAATGAAGGGTGCCCGTGAACTAATGTGAAAGTAGGTTCTAATGAGTATAGAAAGACCATACTTGGGTTAGCCCAATGAGGAGGAGAGCAACATCTTCTACTGTAGCAACGCCACTGCTGCAGCTGCTCTGTGCCAACACTGCGCCAGCCTGACAGGCATGTGATGGCAGAATCAATGGTTCATATACACTATATGCACCAAGGCTCAACGTATAGCCCCTTATATGTTGTGGATAATGGGCTAGCTATGGTGTTAGAATCTTTCTGAGACTTCCTGATTGCAAGCTGCATTGTTTTGAGGAGTAGTCGCCTTGTGATAGACCTGCTGGGTTTTGCTTGATTTTTTTTTAACTACTATGCCACATTTTTCAGAATTGGAAGTTTGAGGCTAATGTGTGCACAAAAAAGGAAGTTTATCAGCAGGCTGTGTAGATTTTGGTACTGTTGTTGTTGTTTAGTTTTTATTTCATGATCATAAACTTAACTCTGCAATGCAGCTAGACTTGGAAATGGATAAGGAAAATATGAAACCCAAAGAACTACAGTGGGAACACAAAGATTATAGGATATTTTGAGCAGATGGGGGTAGAGAGGTGCTCTCCTGAGCTACAGAAGGAATGGTCTGGTGGTTAAGATAGGGTCCCAGACTGGGATCTGAGCAGATCCTGTGTTTAAAATGGCTGTTCTAGAGCAAATAGAAAGAATTTCTGTCAGTGTACCAGCTCTCCAGGGTGCATATTGAGAAGAACTTTCATCATCATGTAGCAAATAAAAGCAGAAGACCAAAAATAAAGTTACACTGCATAGTTCCTTTTTCTTTGTAGTCTCAATCAATGTTTCTTTGGTAAGTGGTTGGGTGGATGGGTGGACGACTGGAAGGAAGGAAGGAAGAAAAGACTGCCATCACCTCGACAGTTTGGGAGTCAACATTTTCAACACTATCCAGAATAAATGTTGCCCTCTGGACGTTGAAAGGAGAAGTTGAAGGAAGGGGTTTCCGTGGTTCTCCAACATCTCTCTCTGCTTCCTCTTCACTCCCAAATAAGAAGAGGGCCAACGCGGATGGGTTAAGGACAATTTGGGAGTGATAGAGCTATAGAAAGAGTGCTGACAGAAAAGGCCTTGAGGTTCAGGAATTTGGATCTCAGACATTTCCACATTTCCATCTCTTTCTACAAAAAACATGACTTAAAGTTAGATTACTCGACACTCTATTTTCTTAAACAATATTTGATAAGTTTGTGGAATAATCAATGTACTTCTCTATGCTATATAGCTATTTGAACTCTATCAGTTGAATCAAAGGACTGTTCATATTGCCTGGATTTTTTTTATGGTGTTAATAATGAAATCTTGCAATAGCAACTCTTGCTGGACCAAATTTTACTTTTTGAATATCCAAGGAAATACTCTAGACAGTGTAACTTCATGTCATAGAAATTAAAGTAGCTTCTTTTAAAACTTTGAGGGCTTCTAATTATACATTTTTCTCTTGTAATACATAGTTATGGGGAAAAATTGGAAAATACATAAAAATGTCAAAAAATAGAAATTTTTTGTTAAATTTCCTTTCACAGATAAGGACGGCAATGCTAGTGCTGCCAATATTCAAGTTTCTTTTCTTCCTCTTGGGAATACAGTTCCCCAAACTTTGGGAAAGTAGGGGGGTCATGTGACTAAGTTCTGGCCAATGGCATGTGGATGAAAGCAATGGGTCTCAATTCTAGGGCATACCTCTGAAATCTCCTTCTTTCATCTTCCTTTATGCATTAGTGAATGCATATAAGAAGTCAGTCTCTAGAGAATGGGAAGAGCTAGTTCCTCAAATAATTACATGGAAAAGAGTCATCCTCCAAGTCTGCACTGGACTGTGACATAACAAGAAATAAAGTTTTACTCTGAAGCCACAGAGTAGTGATTAATATAGATAATCACTAACATTTTTTCAGCATATTTCTTTTCAGTCTTTTTCTATATACCTATTCAATACAGTTATGGTCATACTGAAAGTACAGTTATGCATCATTAGGTGATTTCGTCGTTGTGTGAACATCATAGAGTGTACCTACACAAACTTAGATGGTACAGCCTACTATACACATAAGCTCATGGGACCACCATCATATATGCGATCCGTCAGTGACTGAAAGGTCATTGTGCAGTGCATGACTGTATGACTTTGTTCTGATTTTTTATTTAATATTACATCATAAAGATTTTCTGTTTTATTATAAATGCTTCATAAATGTAGCATTTAATATATATATATACAATAGAATACTATCTAAGATAGTATTCTATCCTAGAATAGATACTATCTATAATATAGATAGTAGATACTATACTATAGATACTATACTATAATACTATACTATGATACTATCTAGGATAGTATTCTATTGTATATATATTATAATTTATGCAACTAAAACTTAATTTTGGTTAATTAAGTTCTATCGAGTTTTTGACTATAACTATATGATGAACATGCTAATGCATGAATCTGTGTACACGTATCATTTTATTTTCTTTAAATAGATTTTTAGAAATAGAATCATTGGGTTAAATAGTGCAAATATTTTAAGTATTGGTTCAGATATATATTGACAAACTGTTTTCTCCAAAATTTGCATTCCCGTCATAAGTGATATGAGTGATATGGGAATACTTATCTTATATCTTCAGCAGTAACCAGAATTATTATAACGACGAATTTTAACTAAAATTTCTGTTTTTGGGCAGGCCCTGTGGCGGAGTGGCTAAGTGCGCATGCTCTGCTGCTGGCGGCCCGGGTTCGGATCCTGGGCACACACCGACGCACCACTTGTCAGGCCATGCTGTGGCAGCGTCCTCCATAAAGTGGAGAAAGATCAACACGGATGTTAGCTCAGGGCCAGTCTTCCTCAGCAAAAAGAGGAGGATTGGCATGGATGTTAGCTCAGGGCTGATCTTCCTCACACACAAAGAAATAAATTAAATTAAATAAAATATCTCTTCTTAATATGGAAAATATTAATATGGAAATAGCATGCCCTTGACAACAGGGTTAACAGACCATAAGGAAAGTAAGTTCCAGAATATCTGCTGGGTTCTATAGATTATCTACTTCTCAAGTAGGCGAGCCACAGTCTTTATTTGCAAATTCCAGCATACAAAGAGCAGAATCTTCAAGAACAAGAGACCACTTTAACAGCAAAAGCTGTTTAAAATGTATTAGAATGAAGGCAAAGAACTAGGAGATAACATTTGAATAGGGCTCTGAAGAATAAATTGAGAGCCTGCCGTTCAGACAGGAGGGCAAACTACATTGCAGATGGAGAACTCTATATGCAAATATATGGAAGCATAAATGAGAGACCAGGTGTGGAACAGAACAAGCCCATCTGTGCTTTCCCAGAACATGGGATGGTGGCACAGAAGCTAAGACTGAAAAGAAGCTGTAGCCTGTGAAGGGTTATGCATGCCACGCTAACAAAGCTGGAATTTATCCTGTAACTAACAGAGGAGAGACATGTTCATAACTGAGTTGATTTTTAAGAAATCAAAATGACTTTGTATCATGTACAAGCCACTTTATAGACATTATTATTTTTGATTCTGAAAACAACTCCACAAGGTAAGTTCTGTTATTCACATTTACAGGATGTGTCAAAATTGAGGTCAGCCTGAGGTCACTTACATGGAAAAGCTGAGATCTGAACCCAGGTCTTTCTGGCTTCAAGTCCATGATCTTCTCGTTGTTCTATGTTGCCTTCTCTGCTGTGACAAAGTAGAAGACAGATTGGAAAGGAAACACAGTAGAGACAATGAGACACATTAGGAGGCTATTACATTGTTTAGGGAAGAGAAAACAAGATCCTTAATTAACCACATCTAGGATAAAGTAGGTTCAAAAAACCAAGACCCAGGGAAAGAGATTTTCAAGAAAAAGGAACTGTACTTCACATTCTTGTTAAATGGTCACCGATGGCCTTTTCAAGACACTTCCAACAGAGAGGTGAAAGACAGGATGGGAGTTGAGGGGTGGGAGCCAGATTTCAGTGGCTCGTGGAGTAAATGGGAGAGGATGTTATAGAAATGGTTTAAAAGTATGGTTGAGACCCTTCTGTAATATTTTCTCCAAGCCCTTTCTCACCACTGTGACCACTCATCATATTGCTTCAAGATTATAATGATCAAACAATCGATATTACTAGAATGTTGCGATTTTAAAAATGCTTCCATTTGTCATCAAAATATACTGGAGGGGAGAAACTGTCTCATAACATTAGGAATTAATATCTAAGATATTCAAAATGATGGAAAAGTCCTAACTTCAACAAGATGATAACAACTCCAGTGATATCTCTGAAAAATTACACCAATAAGTATGCCTATGCCATTCTGTCTATTTACTCCAAGTCAGAAACGAACATGTTGTTTTAAGGAAAAATATAGAGGAGATATTTGAGGTTCTAGTCAACTAAGCTACCATTGAATAAATTGTGCATACTGTGGACTAATCTAATTATACTGTTAATAATGCTTTATGGTAAACTCTATAGAGACTATAAAAGGACTAAGAAAGACCTTAAGAAGTTTCAGTATGTAGTATTTGTACTTAATAAACTTCTTACTATCCTTAATGAGGATCAGATCTTTGCAAAAACCGACCTTGTCTATGCCTATTAAAAGCTGATCATTAATGGCATGACTGTAGATGCCCAAACAATCAATGATCCAGAAATAGTTTCAGTTATATTATTTAGAATTTCTGTTACTCTTCAAATCCAGCTTTCTAGAGTTTTCTTTCAGACATATTACAAAGATTTGACATGTGTGTATCAGTCAGGAAACAGAAATTACTCTAGACGTTTCCAACAGAGGAGTTTAATACAGGAAATTTGTTACACTGATAGTGGAAGATGTGAGAAGGCATGCAGAGAAAACCAGAGATTTGGAAAAGTGGAAGCCACTATGTATAGAGAAGAATAGTCTTGGCTTCACAGTTTCCCATAACTGCTGATAGTGGTAAAATACTAATGTCTCTTGGAGAAAGGAAAAAATGCTGATAATCTCATAAAAGAGGACATAGTGATCATTCAAACAATGAGGGAAGTTTTGGAACGAGAACTTCCACTGTCACCTTCTTGGATTACTCTGTCCCTGCTATTAGCATTTGGCCAACTGAGATAAGTATGTGCAATACCAGATGTGATTTAAAGCTAAGCACGGCTGAACTTTCCTGGGGCTCCACACTTTCTACTGTGTTTCTCCTTCAAAATCTGCCATTGCCGGGTCATTTCATAACTTACTGGAAATCCCATTCCATGGAGCTGGTCTCAGCAAAATGTTACTTTCTGGGATTTATATCATCTTTCACTTCCCAGTTAGAATCAGTTTCTTATTACATGAGAATAAACCACAATTTCCTACCAATGATTCTTCAGCTTATGGTGAGGAAGCCATACAAAGTGAAAAAAACAATGGTGGCTGGCTCTGAAACGTGCTTCAAAGAATATCATCTATATCATGAATTCTTTCTGAAGTCAAGTTTCCCAACTGCTCAATTTTCACCAATACAATACGAACCTCATTTCAAACTGTTATTGCAATCTTTTATGGCTAATTAGCATTATCACTATCTATGCAGCATTGAAGCTGCATACTCAGTGGTCATGAGGTATTCTCTACTTGCCTAGAGGGGAATGAAAAGAATAGTATGTAACCTTGATGTCCAGAGCTGACTGTCACAGGAGGTCCCTGGAGAGATTGTGACACTACCAGAGAAAGTATTGATGTTAAAAATGTGCTTGAAGCATATCTTCTGCCTAAACAAGTTGGATGATTAACTGCCCAGAACCCTAAGATACTTTATAACGGTGAAAGAGGGGAAATTCTTGAGTAATTCAAGACACTCAATGGTTCACTCATAATATAATTGTAATAGTTAACATTTACTGAGCACTTACCGTATACCAAGCACTGTTATACACTCTGTGCATCTATTAACTCCTTTAAACATTACAACAACTCAATCACTTTCATTTTAGAAATGAGGGAACTGAGGAGAAGAAAGGCTAATTTTCTAAAGCTAGAAAAATAGAACTTGCCCTAAGATCATACAATCAGCATCAGAGACAGAATTTGAACCCAGCAGACTGGCTCCAGAGTCCATACTATTAAATACTCTACTCTCTGCCTTATTCTTCTAGATGGTTATTGCATTGTCTTGGCCACCTTATCGTGGCACTTTCAGAGGGTATTTGCGTAAAAGCTTTAGTTGAAGGCCTGTCTGGTTAATTGCAATAGATTTAGAGGTTACAACGGTAGACTACATTGCTGCATATAAGCTCCCTTCTATTCTTTTTTAGGGAGGGAGGAATATCAGCCCTGAGCTAACATCTGATGCCCATCCTCCTCTTTTTTGCTGAGGAAGATTGGCCCTGGGCTAACATCTGTGCACATCTTTCCCTACTTTATGTGGGATGCTGCCACAGCATGGCTTGACAAGTGGTGCGTCTGTCTGTGTCCGGGGTCCGCACCTGTGACCCCCAGGCCGCCAAAGCGGAGAGCGCACACTTAACTGCTGCGCCACCAGGCTGCCCCTAAGCCCCTCTTCTATTCTATAAGGATTATGTTTGCTCAATAGTCCGTACGGATTTCTCAGAACCACATCAAAGGAAGAACTGTTATTGACATAGAATCCTTAAAACACCTGGAGATAAGCTTTCAGCCACACCAGCTGGTGGTTGTGTAGGTTGCTGTAAACAATTTACCTTAATCAAGTTTAAGGGTTTCGTGAACAGGATTCTTATCCTGTTTTTTTTCTACTTCTGGGGAATCACGAAAACCATAGAGCAATAATTCTCTGGCCACTTCCTGTTCTGAAGTGGTTTCACTTGTTTCTCTTCTCAAGGCAGTCACAAAAGGGAACTCTATATTCAATAAAAGGGGAGATAGAGTAAGTATGCCAGAGATTGCTATGGTTCAGCATTAGTTTTTGAGACCCAATGGAACTCAAATTATGAGCAATGTAATTTGTACAGTGTCAAAGAGTTATCTTGTTGAAGGCTGTTCCAGTTACCTATGTGTACATATTAAATTATTACCAAATTTAGAGGCTTAAATAATGGCAAGTCAGCCCTGGTGGTCTAGTGGTTAAGATTTGGTGCTCTCACCACCACAGCCCAGGTTCCTTTCCCAGTCACGGAACCACACCACCCATCTGTCGGTTGTCATACAGTGGCTGCTGCGTGTTGCTGTGATGCTGAAAGTTATGCCACCGGGATTTCAAATACCAGCAGGGTCACCCATGGGGGACAGGTTTCAGCGGAACTTCCAGACTAGACAGAGTAGGAAGAAGGACCTGGCCACCCACTTCTGAAAAAATTGGCCATGAAAACCCTATGAATAGCAGTGGAGCATTGTCTGATACAGCTCTGGAAGGTGAGAGGATGGCGCAAAAAGACCGGGTAGGGTTCTGCTCTGCTGTCCTCAGGGTCGCTAGGAGTCAGAATCCACTCGAGGGCACTAATAACAACAACATTTATTTTGCTCACAAATCTGCAATTTAAGCAGAGCTCAATGAGGATAGCTCATCTCTGCTCCACTTGACATCAGCCTGCCTGGCTCCAAGGTGGGAGATGGGTGGGTGGAATCATGTGAAGACTCATTCACTCACATAAATGCTGGTTAGCCTAGCTATTAGCTGTCAGCCTAGCTGTTAGCTGGGACTTTTAGCCAGAACACTTACATGTGCCCTCTTCATGTGGCCCAAACTTCCTCACGACATGGTGGCTGATTCCAAAGGGACAAGTGCCCTGAGCAAGAAAGAGAGAGCCAGGCAGAAGTTAGATCTTCTTCTATGTCCTAGGCTTGGAAGTCATGCAGTGTCACATCCACCACATTCTATTGGTTGAGATCGTTACAAAAATTCACCAGGTTCAAGGGAAAGAAATGGATCCCACCTCTGAATGGAGGTATGTCCATGCAACAGTGTAAGAGTGGCATGTGAGATAAGGTATATGTTGGTGCAGCAATCTATGGAAAATACAGCCACACAAGCCTATCGTTTCTTTGCACATTTTTTAAATCAGCCCAAACAGAGCAATCCACTCTCAGGGAAGCTTGCCTTACATCCTCTGTTTCGTTGAGGATGCCCATGAGAGTATTTTATTTCCTCCCTTATGGATTCAAAGAGAAGATTAAGTCTTTTTCTCTTGCTCTAACTCAATATAAAGTATGGCCAAACTCCATATAAAGTATATGAATGACTGTAGGACATAAGCCTGGCAAAGTTATGTGTGTTATAGACAGAATATTTTTTTATGTCCATAGTCTTTAGAATAATTTTTGTGATGAACTAAGGGGGAAATATATGGATTAGATTTTAATATTTATGATTAGCTTTATAATATTGTGTAAATTATATTACAAAACACTGTTGCTGGATGCCAATGCTTTCTTGTTTGAAAATACTGGTATTAGTATTTTCCTCATACCCTTGGGATCTTACAAATATTATCAAGTTAATGAATGTAATGTATATGCAATGCTAGAAAAAATAGCTATGCTTCCAGAGGATAATCATTGTATCTTTGAATTTGTAGGTAACAAATCAGATTTGATCATAGTCAGCATTTGTCAACAATCCACAGGATGGAGATGATTTGATCAGATTCAGTGAATTGACAGTATGTTCCCAAAGAGGACCAGAGCTGTAACAATATTTCAAATCAATACTGTGTATTCTTTTGAAGACAGGATGATTATGAAGTTTTCATGTCTTTTGTAAACATTTTACTTTGGCCCAGATTGTGCTAACTGTGTTATATCACATTCTATCAAATATTCTGAATTAAGGGGGAAAAAACTCATAGAATGTGTTTAAAAAATCAGAGCTCTATGACTAACATAATGGTAAATACAGCTGGAGAAACTGATTGCCCCACCTTCAACTCAGAGAATATTACTTAGTGGAAGAAAAAATTTCTATCAAAGAAGGAGGGCTATTGATTCTAACATCTAATCAGAGTGTCTTAAAAAATGAAGAAAGGCAAAAACATCTTGGATTTATGGGGAAAATTCTTCATAACTGCTGACAATAGTAAAATTCTATCGTATTTTTTTAAGTTGGTAATTTTGTAAAGAAAGAAAGAAAAAAACAAGAAGGAAAAATCTGTGGCATTTGTTTTAGGGAAAAAAAATGCTGAAATAGTGTTGTTTTAAAGGAGACATGCCCTGAACATTTGTTGACAAGAACCAAAGGGGTATTTTGTGGAGGTTATTTTATTTGTTTTTGTCTTTGTAGTGTCTGTACTTTCAAAAATTACCCTGGCAACTGAATTTTAAAGACTATTGCTCAAACCTGGTATATGTGAGGCAAATTATTTATGAAAGTGTTGTAAAAATAAAAAAAGACTTGAAAAAGGCCATCTTTAAAATTAGAAGCTATGAATTGGAGTGGTTGGAAATTAAAAAAAAAAATTACTTTCAGCAAAGCCAAAATTATTAGTGAGTCAAGATAATTTTCTCAAATAGGTGTCTGAATTTGTAGGAAGGAGTGAAAGAATAAATAGTTGAGGGGCCAAATTATTACAGGTTAATGCAAAATAAATAAGACACTGGAATAACTATTACCCACCCACATACTTGCAGATATTAGTAATGAGACTTCTGTCAATACATACATATAAGTCACTTTTATTCTTTTACACTTGTACTTTCTATATGCAGGAGCATGAAGGAAGAGAATCAGGGGCCACAATAAAATAATTTTAAGACTCCCTGTCTTGTTTTAAATATTATTTTAATCCTAGGTATTTTCTGTTTCCTGGGACTAAATCAGTGTTTCAGGAAATCTTTCCACCTAAGACAACAGTGCTTAGGTAAACTAAGAGAACAAAATAACTCTGATGCTTGAAGAAAGGAAAAAAGAGAAATAGGGAAGAAAGAAGGGTATAGGAAAATCAGCAGTGAGATGAAAGAAGATCAAAAAGACAAAAAAGAGAATGAATTAGGAGGAAAGGAAGCAAAGAAAACGGAAAAGGCAGAAGTGTAAAATGAGGATACTGTGAGCCAGGCATTGGCACGCTACGGCCCATAGACCAAATCCGGTCCATCACCTGTTTTGTTTTTGGTTGTTTGTTTAGTTTTTTGGTGAGGAAGATTGTCACTGAGCTATCATCTATGCCCACCTTCCTCTATTTTGTACATGGGATGCTGCCACATCATGGCTTGATGAGCAGCGTGTAGGTCCACGCCTGGGATCCAAACCCACGAACCCGGGCCGCTGAAGTGGAGTGTGCGAACTTAACCACTACGCCATGAGGGCGGCCCCACCATCCCCTGTTTTTGTACAGCCCAGCTAAGAACAGTTTTTACATTTTTAAATGTTTGAAAAAAATCAAAAGAAGAACAATATTTTGTGACACATAAAAATTGTATGTCCATAGATAAAGTTTTGTTGCTTGTGTAAAAATCCGTGCCCATAAATAAAGTTTTATTGGAAGACACCTTCGTCCATTTGTTATGTGGTTGCTGTTGTGCTACAAGGACAGAGTAGAGTAGTTGGGATAGAGATTGTATGGCCCTCAAAGACTAAAATATTTATTATCTAGGGGCCGGCCCGTGGCACAAGCGGTTAAGTGCACGCGCTCCGCTGCGGCGGCCTGGGGTTCGCCGGTTTGGATCCCAGGTGTGCACCAACGACTGCTTGGCAAGCCATGCTGTGGTGGCGTTCCATATAAAGTGGAGGAAGATGGGCATGGATGTTAGCCCAGGGCCAGTCTTCCTCAGCAAAAAAAAAAGGAGGATTGGGAGATGTTAGCACAGGGCTGATCTCACAAAATATATATATTTATTTATTTATTTATTATCTAACGCTTACAGAAAAAGTTTGCCAACCCCTGGAGTAATTGATAATATTTACTAAATACCAACTACGTGCTCAGCCCTACCCTCTATGGAGGATACAAAAGAAAAGAGAAAATAATGAGGACCTGGTTCCTATCCTTGGGAACTTATAATCTAGTTGGGGAGGGAAAAACTAATAACAGCTGTTCTTCATAGATTATTGCTAGGAACTACAAAAATGGCATTAATGTATGGCTTATTTCTTCTTGTTCTCACTGAACTCGATACTTTGTAGGCAGTCATAACATTAGAACCAGGCATTCAGAATAAATTGCATCCTTAAAACTCATATTTATATCCTTAACCTCTAGTTTAAGGTTATCATTTACATTTCCAACAAATATAAGAAATACCACTAAGGCTTGATCTTGAACGGATAACCCCTCAAAACCAATCTCTCATTGAGACAATTCCCAAAAAGAGAGGAAGGTTTTGGCAGAAGATGTATAAAAACACCTGAGGATTAAGCATGACCCTTTACATCAGGTGGCTGATTCAAAAGCGGATGATATAGATCACCCTTGCTGGGCTAAAATAGAAATTGAATTCTCTAATGCTTTGTTTGCAATAAATTTCTCCATCACCCCAAATTAAGCTTTGTCTCCTCTCCATTGCCCGTGAGCACCCCTGCCTAGCTTAAAGGGATGGGAGAACAGAGGGTCCACTCACCCTGGTTGTGTGTTTTCTTCAGGAGTGGCAATTTTTCAACACTTTTCAACGCTGTGCTGTCCAATCTGGCGGCGGCTAACCGTGTGTGACTATTGAGCACTTGAATGTGCTTAGTCCAAATTGAGATGTGCTGTAATTGTAAAATACACATCCCATGTCAAAGACTTACTATGAAAGAAAGAATGAAAAATAACCTATTAATATTTTTCTAGATCTTGATTACATACTGAAATGATATTTTGGAGATATTTGGTTAAATAAAATATTTTATTTAAATTAGTTTTACCAATTTCTTTTTACTTTTTTATTATCTGCCAATCCTCCTCTTTTTTGTGCTGAGGAAGATTGGCCCTGGCCTAACATCCGTGCCCATCTTCCTCCACTTTATATGGGACGCCGGCACAGCATGGCTTGCCAAGCAGTCGTCAGTGCACGCCCGGGATCCGAACCGGCGAACCCCAGGCCCCCACAGTGGAACGCACACTTAACCGTTTTCGCCACCCGGCCAGTCCCTCTTTTTACTTTTTTAAGTGTGGCTACTACAACATTTAAAATGACCTACATGGTTTGCATTACGTTTCAACTGGACAGAGCTGTTTTAACATGTTGATCTAACAGTTGTTAGGTCTGTGTTGCACGAAGCAGCTGTGTGGCTCATTCCTTCACCTCCTTCGAGTCTTTGTTCAAATGTCACCTACGTGACAAGGTCGGTCAACATAAATTACAACTCTCCAAATTCCCGACCTCCTTACCCAGCTCTATTTCTTTTCCGCTAACATTTATCATCATCTGGCCCACTGTATAGCTTACTTATGTATTATATTTATTGTTTATAGTCTTTCTCCCTGCCCCCACCCTCCATAAGGCAGAACTACTGTATCTGTTTTTCCTCATTGATGCACCCTTAGCAGGTAGAACAGTGCCTGGTACCCGATAGGCAATTAAAAATTCTGCTGAATGAATGAACGGTAAATGTTAAAAGAAACATTGCAAAATAGTCTGCTGAAATATCAACAGTCAGTATTTGAGGCTTGAAGTAAGGTTGTCAAAGGGTGGTGCTTTTTTTAAGCTTTCTTCCTGCAAGTCTCTCTCCAGCTCATATCCCCCAGGCCTCTGCCCCTAATATTGACACCTACCTGTTCTATATTCTGCTTCTAGGCCAGCTGAGAGACTCAGGGTGTAGGGTACTAGATATCAGATTTTGACATTGGAAGAATATTACTGAGCCTCCCCTGTGCAAATGAATTGCTATGTAGTATCTTAATAAAATCTTTCTGCGATGCAACTTACATGCGTGTCCTAATCTAACTGGATTAAAGTGAATATGACAAAGCGAGATTTGTTCATTAATCTCTGGGTTTGAATTAGAAAGCATTAGCAGTAGAAGCTCTTCAGAAATGGTATGTAAAAGACATCTGGGGGCTGAATTAAAGGCATCAAATACATAAGAGGCAAACCATCAGAAATTGGGCTGTAGGTATTGACACACCAAACTTTTCACATCAGAGGAATAGAAAGAAATATGGCTCTGAAAATGGTCCAAATCATCCAACAGTTCTTGACTTTATCCAAAGCACATCTAATGCCATACTCTTTTCAGATTTCGGCTTAGCTTTTGACACATTAAATCACACCCAAGCTATATCTGAATGGAGGTCTCTCATGTCCAGAAAGAATTATTGTCTTATCTGCTTATTACTTATGTCAAAGTTGCCAATGTCTGTTCCACTTTTCTTTTTTCCATTTTACTAGGAAGAGAAATGGTCTCATGTTGGCTTAGTCCTTATGTTAAACCTACCACTCAGCTTCTTGTTGCAAATCTTACAACCAAATAGAGCTGACAGACTCCTAGCAGCTGACCCAGAGTTACACTTGTTGCCTCATAATATTTCCCCAAAGGAACTTCTTGCCTTTGTGGGTGATACTGTCACCCTTAGTGAGTCATCCCTTTGTTTATGTTATATAATCTAGGGTAAGATATTTTTATCTGTAGAAGTCTTTGTTGAAAGTCAGTACTCCATAGAGTGCTACACATGATTAAGTCATGATTAGACATTTGTACCTTAGCATAGATTAGTATGTCAAATTGTTTTCCTATTTAATCGCCAATTGACATTGATGTTCTAAGAGAATGAGGCATAGGAGATGAAAATTGATGAGACGATTAGGAGATGAGAAAGAGTGCTATGTTTAGAATATTGGAACTTAATCCAAAGTAGAGAGGATTCCTTGGAGAATGAAAATAAAAGGCTTTGGTCAGTCCTGAGGAAACTAGGGGCCAGAAGAAGGGAGAGCGATCAGGATGATCAAATGGAGACAGGAGGGAGGAAGGGGCTGTGTAGACATTTTATTTAGTTCTCCATGTCTCCTTTGTTCTCTCTCACTCATCATTAAAAGTGGTCAAATATCTCTTTTTATTTAAAATTACTGCCTTACCCAAGGACCAGACAAAAAATGGAAGGTACAGTTACATTGGAAAATTTGAGGAGAGTTTAATTAAAACCACTTTTAACAAAGGTGAGTGCAGCGTTTAGGAGATGCAAGAAGGCATGGTGTAGAGTACCTTGAGACGAGCTGTAGAAAGGAACTGTTACCAG